TTAGAGCAATAAGACAGGAGCTCCGTGGACCCGGACAGCTGTTTGGATACCGCACGATGTGGCAGGTACTTAAACAAAAGTACAATCTGCGAGTGAAGTGGGAACATAAAATGAATTTCCTACGGGAGCTCAATCCTCAAGGGTGTGAGGGGAGAGCACCTACAGCCGTGCTGTTGTGATCAGCATCAGAAGGAAGGGAGTGAGAAGCAAATTTGTCAGGAGATGACAGATTAAAACCTGCTAAAGACTGAATCCAAACTTGGCAGGAACATTTTTGGTTTGTTTCAGTATTATGATAACGAATTTCATTTCACCTTTATGATGTTCAGTTTGTTAAACAATTCTGTTTTTATTTCAGGGTCAATGAAAAAGTAGTTTGTCATCACAGATTTATTGACCTACTTGTAGCATCAGGTTAAACTTCTGAAATTACATTTTGGGCTAAAGCAGTGTTATGGTACATCATTTGAAAGAGTTGATGATATCCAGCATGTTCTGAAATGCTTCAATGCTTAAATCGAAAGTGCCAAAAAAATAATTTAAGCTGATGTTCCACAAACACCTGGGAATCCGTTTGATTAGCTGCTTCCTAAAGCACCCAGATACATGAAACAGTAAAAGAAATGAAAAAAAAAAAAAACTGAAATTACATTATCAAAACATAATATCCAAAGCAAGGAAATTCAATTGCAAAACCTAAAATACTGCTTTGTTAGATAACTTTTTTAAACCATAGAACTTCATTTCAAAATCTGTAAATCCAGGTTCTGTTTTAGCAAGTCAAATTCAATTTCTGATGGCAAATGTTTCTGTCTATAAACAGTATAAAATATAGGAAACCTAGCTTTTAGAAACTGTTTTTTGAGTCATAAATTCCATGAGTTACATTAAAAATTATACTGATTTTATTTTGAGTTAATTTTGGGTCGGTCCTACCACCTTGTGACTAGATTTAAGATCTGCAACTGTAAGAAATACTTTATTAAAGCTTGTTTTAACAGATTTTTTTTTTCTTTTTGTTGTTTACTTGCACGCCATTAATCAAACGTTGACAACTGCATATTTTCTTTTTACTGCGGGGCTGATCCTTGCAGTCCAAAGTGAAAAGCAAATGGAAGACAATTTGACTACTCATGCAGAACTTGTCTCTTTGATGCCATGAATGTTTAGAACCTCAACTAAGTCCAGACTCGGAGACTCCTTACTGCTGCTCAGTGAGGGGCAAGTGACTATATTTTATATTTTTATTCAACCATTACCAGTTATATGCTACATTGTCAAGGTTCATAAGGATTTGTTATCGTACAGACAATATGATCTGTACTGCCTTCTTTCCCAGATGTTATTTACAATGTCTTATTGATTTTCAAAGATAATCTGTACCTTGATTAAATTTGTGCATCTTTAAGTTGCAAATATAAAATGTACAAAAAAAAAAAAAACATATTGGGCCGGATTTATAGAGATCCAATTTTGCGTGCAGTAATTTGCGCTCGCAAACTGGAATTTTGCGCGAGGGGCTGAACCATGGTTTGCGGGTGATTTAACAAGAG